CGGGGCGGGGGGCGGGCATATTACTATTTATGTAAGTGGAGTAGTTTTTGCAATGGTAAAGACAAGATTTGTGTTTGCTAAAAGTCAGATAAAAAGATGGATGGAAGCTTTACATCAGGAAATGGCTTTTTGCGTCTGTGATTTTTATATAAATATAGAGATAATGGGCTAATGATCAATTTCAAGAACTTGACAAAAATAACTTATTGTATTCTCTGTTACTAGATTGCTTTTGGCCCCACAGTTAGAAGTTGGGACAGTTCATAGATATGGGAAACGGTGGTGTTTACTATAGATCATAAAGCTAGATTTTCTTTTTCTCTTGCCTGGTGAAACAAGAAGACACGCATAAGAAACTGGAGAGTGCACGTCTATTATGAATGCTTTCTTATGCATAATTAATGTTGTGATCTACTGTTTCTGTTTACCTTTTAGAGTTGCTTAAATGCTTTTAGTGGTTGTTTCCATTTGAACGGTAATTGGGATGTGGATAACGCCCTGACTCAATGTCATTGACATCCCTAATGAGGAGCTCGTAGTGTCGCCTTACTTCTTCAGCTGATTTGCCACCAACTGCTCTTGCAACGTTATGCCAACGGTCAGGAGTGTCCTGGTCATATGTAGCCAACGCCCTTTCAAATAATTTGTTCTCCTTACGTGTCCAAGAAGCGCTAGAGCTCATAGAGTTGGAAGCCATATCACGAATAAGTATGTGTATAGAGAGTACAAGATTGAAATTAAAGAGCCTTGTGATAATGGAAATCTGTTTCTTGGGAGGGAGAAAAAGAAGGCAGATGTATGTAAGACTTGATGAAAAGGAGTTGATTTGGTTAGCTAAGAGAAGGGGAAGCTCCTTATAAGTAGGAAGGAAAAAGCATTGTGTGGGGTTAAGCCAGTTGGAAGAATATATACTTTTGTGAAACAATCCAATGAAACCTGAGATTCCTTGCAATAGAGATAAGTGGTTTCCTTCCTTTTTTTTTCTTTTTCTTTGTTACTATCCGTACAGTAAACGACTAAGACAGTAACCATGCATGTTTTTGGACCTTCCCTTACCTCTTCAAGGCTTTTGTAGATAGAGATCTAATCATCACTAGATTGTAGTATCCGATGCTTATTTTAAACACATGAGATTGTTAGATTATGTTTGATGCTTCTTCTGATCTCCATCCATTTTGATTGGAAATTTCAGATTTCTGTTTATGATAGGTTACGTTAGTGATGATCGATATGTCTTTTCGTAGATGCCATATATAGTCGAAGTCATTTAGTAATGTCATAATTAAAAAGAAAACAACGACATCTTCATCGATTCTTGCCATTCTCGTTCTCATGGCTCTTGTAGCAAATTTGGTAATATGTAATTATCTGAGTGATCATTTTGTTACATTTGGCTCTCATGTTAAGCATCTGTTGACAATGACAGAAACTCGTGCATGCAACCCTTATTAGTGAATATATATCAAACCCTTTACATGTCTTCATGCTCTTTAGTAGCTTTAGCTTTAAATTAGATTCCCTCCAATAAGAAGACAAATATCAGAGTATTACTAAGGAGTGATTTGGCTTAATAATGAGAAATTAGCCTCCGAAATATGTTCCTCTCTGGATCGTGACCACAAAAACTTTCTTTGGCAACCATAAGAACCGAACCTTGTTAGGTTATATAGTATATTGATTTCTTCATCAAACCAGTCAATATTTATCTTTTATAGGTATAGGAATCTTTGCTTTGTCAATATTTTCTTAATGTGCTAAGAAGATTGGCTGATTTAAACCTTATAGTAAACTTGAGCAGCTACTTTTCTTGCATACCACTCCTTTTTTAAGATGTCCTGCGTTTGGCGCATGCATAAAAAAAATAACGTGGATATAAAACTGTAAAGCATGGATACATAGAATATTAAAAAATATTCTATTTCAAAAATGATCTCCAATACTTAATTAAAAGTTAATTTTTTTTCATAAATTCTGTAAATGAGTAGAAACAATTCTGTAAAAGAAAAGTAGTCAATGTGTTAAAAAAAATAATTAGTTAAATTGTTTGCAACTTTATAAAAACTGAAAAGTCTTTTTTTTTTGTGTGTTTGTGTAATAACTCTTTAAAGATATTAATGTGTATCCTTAAATTTATATTTGTTTAATATATAGTACTTTGTTTGGAAAAGAAAAAAAAGGTGCTTACTACATTCTAAAGATGTATAAGCGTAAGATAATAAATGAAAAAAAATTATCTTTAAATTCACTTCTACAAAGACACTCCAACACAAATTTTCACTTTGTTCATAGAACTTGTTTCAACATTTTTTTTCCGTTTGTTTCCATGCATTACTAAACCAAAGTTAAATATGCATGCAGCAGTAACCACGAGAATGGAAGAGGAAAAAAAAAAGAAGAGAAAAAAAAAACAGCACCTTTTCGAGGATATTCAGGTGTTATTGTTTTTTTTTCCTCTTAATTAACATTGAGTGGCAATACAAGTGGACAGATTCCAAATCTTGGGAAGATCTCGTTGATAAATTTTATCGACGACATCTGCGCCTTTCTTACGCTTCTTCTGCTCCTTTGTTTTGGACATTGTTTAACTTCTCTGAGTCCTCTCCACTCGCTATGTTTTATTGTACTTATTATTATTATTTATATATATAAAATAACAAAAAGATGAAGATATGGACTGTATTTCTTCTCCAAAAAGTTTAAAAATATCAGCTCTCGTAGTATACTCTTTGGTCTCTATTCTAAGCTTTGTGATAAAACATTCTTTTGGCAGATACTCAATTACTCATCTCTTTCAACTTCACTTGCCCACTCAACAACTTGTCCTCTTGGAATATTTCTTTGGACTCTTCCATTTGGATCCGTAACTTCACGTCTACGCCTTCATTGCTTATGCTAAGCACTTACATTCATTACTCTTCCATCACGAACGTCTAAACTATATATTCCTGCTTCCAAATTTTGTACGAATAAGTTGTTTCTATGTCCGCTTTAATTTGGCTAGTCATGTGATTTCTTATAGCGAATTTATACCCAAAATACGTTGAGATTACGATGGCTTTGGTCAGTTTGGGTTAGTATGATTTCTTAAGAACGAAAAACTTGCCTTTTTCAAGTGCTTTTTGATAACGATTCGATTTCAATAATTATGTGAACAGGCCAAGTGGTTTTTTTACCCTATACCCATTTAACCTATATGGCAATGTTCAACGAGTTTCTACTCAAATAACTTAGTAGTTCTTAGTGGATTTGCGGATATATTTTTTTACGTATAATGTGGGGTTCCTAATACTGTATATTACAGTATGGACTAATAGTACTATCTCCCTAGCTAATGACGGGACTAGCTAATAAAATTGTTGATGTCTCAGTCCATAGGAGGGACAAATTCTCTTTTCTTCTTTATTTGATTGGATTCCGATCTTACCTGATCCCTTTGAAGTGGACCTCATTTGACGTTTCGAAGATGCTCCTTAATTTGTAAAACCTCTAGTTAACATATCTTAACTACTTTAATTTGTATGGTTACTTTTTTCGAGGTTAAATATAAAGAAACGTCATGGTGGCGTTATTATAGGGGCACAAATTTTCCATTATTTAATTACCATTTATGTTCCCGAATCCACATATTTTGATGTCATCATAAACATCAGAACCTTAATTTTTGTTTGCCTCCTGACACAGCACGGATCTGTCCGGAGACGACTATTTTGGCTGCAATATTGTAAGCAAAAAGTAAAAGCCGCCAATCATTTTGAATATAGACTCGACGAATCGATATACACGCAAAATCCATATACATGTAATAAATTTTAAGTTTTTACGATTTTCGCGATTAAAATTTATTGAAACAGTCTTTTTCTTTTTAATTCTTTGATTAAAGTTGAAAAGTAGGATAATATGACTGTGTTAATCGTAATAATCAAACGTATTAAACTGGATTTGTAAATTTGTTGAATGATAATTCCGTTAATTTCTTTTCCATGTATACTGCAAAGTCGTGGGGATGACGTAAATGAATATGTGCGTTACAACTTACAAGAAACTAAAATGAGGAAAAATGTTTTGAGAAAAAATATATATATATATATATATATATATATATATATATATATATATATATATATATATATATATCTAACTAGATCCGAATAGGATAACCCAGAAAACTACTACCATATGTTAAAGATTAGAAAAGAGCTAACTTAATTTCGAAGAAATATCTCATCTCATTAGGATTGTGTTTGTGTGGTGATTACATTTGCATCGAAGACTAATAAAACTCTTGGACTCAATCCAACTTTCCGGCGATGGCTATAAATTTCTCATATTTGAGTTAACAAGATCATAAATTCTTCTTTCGACTGTTTATTTATATGTAAAAAAAAATAACATTACGAGAAAATCTCTATACTATTAAAAGAGAAGTACAAATGTAAATGGGTCGAGTCAAAATCAGAAAATTGATCCGAAATTCTGAAATCGGATCTTGGAAAAAATTTTGGAATATAAATTTGAAATAATAATGAAAAATCGAACTAAAATCAAATGTTTATGGAAATCAAATAAAATTTGATTGTACTTATGGTAACTAATTATAAAATCATATTCCGAACAATATTATACATTAATTACGTATAATATATTTGTTCATATAATTTTGGAACTAATTCCATAACAATCAACGTTTTTCTCATTAATTTTGCTTATTTTAGCCAGTTATCATCATTAATTAAAAGATATCTCACTTGCTTCTAGAGATTTCTAGAAAATTTATCATACCTAACCCATCTATTTTATAAATTAAATAGATATTTTTATTTTGGTCGTGTAAATAGATATGAAATCTATGTAACTAATTTTAATTTAATTAGATTAAATCGAAATTATGGTATTTTCATACTTATAGCTTACCAAAGAAGTTTAATTTTCAAATTATAAAGATTTCTTGAATATGATTTTTAGGATTATTCAACAAGATGATAAATATTTATTAAATTTTGTGAATCATGAAAAATATTAATTATTTTTAATCATTATATTTCACCTTTCAATCTCTCAAGATACATATTCTATTATTCCTATGCCCAAATTTCATTGTGTTGTATGACTAAATAATATTTCCATTAGAGCTGTCAAAACGAGTTGATTCGTCCCGTTAAGCCTGTTTTGCAATAGGCAAAATATATTTTGGCATGTAGTTAGTCTGTCCGCACGACCCGCGGATAGCATATATGAAACACAAACCCGTCACGAGAATGTATGCTGATTTGCGGGGTTATCTGTGGATTTTGTTTACATAATTTTAGAGTAACCAAAATTTAAAATTCTACTAAAATAAATAAATTAAAAAAAATTTAGAGAAAAGAATCTTATATATCATTATATTTATAAATATTATAATTTCATTTATTAAAAGTTTTTTAAACTACCACATGTTGAATAAATTATATTTTTATCAATAAATACTATCATGCGGGTTGATCCGCCAACCCGTGGACGAAAACTGATGACCCACTGCGAATTAATCCATGTGACCCTCTTATTTGCGGGTTTAATATATTTTCCCAAATCCTAGCCCAAATCTGCCCTATAGTGAGATGATTTGGGCTCGACCCGCGGTTTTTGATCTATTTTGACTGCTTTCATTCCCATGATTCGTCTAAGTTTTGAATTCTAAAACATAAAATTCCATTTTGTAAATAATAATTAATATAATTAGTTTAATTATAAACAATTTAATATTTTCTTTACAATTTGTTATTAGGAATATTTATAAGTACACTACACGATTCGTTCTACTAAAAACACGCACAATATTAAAATCAACGTATTTAAATCAATATTCTCCCGCGGTGGACCGCGGGTCCGATCCTAGTATTATACATAATACACACAATTTTCTATTATCGATCTGTAGTTAGTTTTCTTTAAAAAATCGCCACAGCATCGAATTTTCTATTAATACCAGTTTCATCAACTTGCAATTAATAAGTTTCATACGGTCCGTTAATCTAATACTATGAATGGGCTTGGTCCATTGATCATTAACTTGTCATGGGCCTTGTAGCTGCCACTAGTTTAAAACAGCAATATTTGTTTCCTTAATTGTGCCTTTTTCTTGATAATATACGGGTAGTACGTTGTGTTTTTGTTAATATTACACTAGGATATGATCCGCGGTACACCGCGGGTTAATTTTTTTTGTTACAAAATAATTTAAATTATAGGTTGTATTTGTTTTGGTAATATTGTTTGTTTTATTTAGTGTTTAAAATTATATAATTGTATTTTAATTCTTAATTCTAGGATTTCACCCGTGATATACTGTTTCGTATTAATAGAAATCCAAACCCGTCCCACCATATAACCCCGTCCGGTAAAATTAAATATCATTTTGTTATTTCTTTTTAATAGTACTTTATATTCGAGACATAATTCGAATCAATTTAAAAATTTGCTTTCAAATGGTTCTCATAATATATAAGTTTATTTATAGAGGTTCAAATAGTATATTAATATTATAGTTTTAATATCAAAGTTTATATTTATAAATTGATTATATTAATATCATAGTACTTTATATATTTATAAATAAATTATGCTAACATAGTACTTTATATTAATATATCAAAGTTTTTATTTATAAATTGATTGTTGCATCAAATATTTTGTTAGCATAATTATAGATTGTGTTGTATATGTGTGTTAATAATGTAATTTGATCTATAATCATTTTATTATAACTAAAACAATAAATCATTTCAAGCCCAATAAACAAAAGGCAAGCCCAAATATGCCAAGAGAGCAAAACCCAAACTGAGTAGATATTTTGTGCTCATATTATTCCAGAAAAAAATTAAGAAAAACGAAAATTGAAAAAAAAAAAAAAAAAAAAATTGATGGTTTCCTGAGAAACAAAAAAAACACACAAAAATATGTAAAACTGAAAATCGACAACAGGCGGTGTCTCGCCGATCGAATCCCAATTCGATTCCGTTCTACATGACTTCCTATTCAAGGATTATAATCGGTTCCGAAGAACATGTTCAAAGCTGAATCAATAGGTAAGAGAATTTCAATCGTGACCGATAATATAGATATCGAATTATTTGCTTTCCAAACAAAGATTTGTTGTTTGTACATAGGTTTAATTTTAAAGACGATTTCATTTTGCATGTCTTTATTCCGAATTACGATTTGATTGTGAAACCAATTTCTAAAGTTTGGTCATACATGAAAAAACATAACTTATGAATCGATTGATGCAGCCACTTGTGGTTTGACAGAGAAAGAACTTCGGGAAATAATATGAAAGCTTGTTGAAGGGTTTGGCAATGATAAAGACAATATACTATCAAAACCCGTGAAGGTAAGAAAGAGATTGTATGTAGAATCAAGTTTTTGTTATATAGGATTATATGCTAAGAATATTGTTAGATTCATGGCAATGGTTATTAACCACATACCACCATATAGTTTGCAGCTGGGTATCAGCGTATAGGTGTGGAGGACATGCACAAAAGGAAAAATTCAGAAAAAAGCTCCTGAGATTATAGATCAATGTATGTTGATGGACCACATCAAATGCTTTGAAACTGTGGCCGTTGGAGTGAAAGACATTGTACCATATTCAGTCGCCTTCAGTTGTGGATCTAGAATATCCAGAGGTAGTGTATATACAGAGAAAGCAAAGGATGCGGCCATTGGTGTTGGTAAGGTTTTTGACCTTAAGCTAGAGATTAGAATTGTATTGTTTTTTTCTGTGTTTAGAGGTAGGAGAAATGAGCGATTATATATAGAGTTTTGATAGGTTAGTAGGGTTTTGGGTTAGAGAATAAAAAAATCTTGATTAGCAAGGTTTGAATATTTTGCACTTAATTCATTAGCACCTATTTAGGAAACTAAATGCATTTTGCCTTGAATGTAGGAAGCATCAAATATGGTAAGATTCGATTGAGAGAATTCGGGTAGAAAATCACAAAGAAGGTAAGATCCGAGATTCTCCAAAGCGGGTCGAAAACAATTAATTCCGGGTCAAAATTTTGACCCGATTAGAGACCCCAAAAACTGTTGCAAAAATGTATAGTAGATTTCGTTTACATTAATATAAAAATATGAAAATGCCTAATATTGTTCTATAAAAAGCACTCGTAGATGTGCCTTTACTTAAGTGGTTAACTTCATTTGACTCAGTATTTTTCACCGGAATTCGACTCCACTAAGTCGCGTTACCCCGCGTAGTAGGAATTGACTATGGATCGGACTTTATTGATTCAAAGATATCAAAAAAAAAAAAAGCACTAGCATTAGCGTAAGATGTACTTTCATCTAACCTGTACATCTACTGAATCTAGGTCTACCACCAATTCTAAACGCGTGCCTTACCAAAACTTGGAATATTTTCAGTTTTGATTATCGTGTGGGTGAAAAACATCAAAAATATTATAATGATGTATTATCTAAAGTCATTCACAATTAATAAAGCATTGTTTTTGTTGCGAGACTGAGAGTAGTTTTCACTTGTCAATGAGTAGGTGTAGCCGATTTATATTATATCATTTGGGATAACAAAATTCTACCTAAAACTTAAATAATTTACTGATTTGGCCAATAAGCCTAATTAAACCCTCAAGCAGTTAACATCACAATCAAGCTTCTAATTGATTTGGCCAATGAGGAGTTTATGCCTTACTAAACCCAAAAGCAGTTTACATCACAAAACCATTTGACTCTTATTCTGATTTGGCCAATGACGATTGACAAGTCTATGGCTTCACATTGAGACATTGATGTTGTGTCCATATTACGACACACCTTTATCAGTTTCCATTGCGAAAAAAGAACACCCATGCTTTTAAAGAAAAAAAACTTAAGGAACAAAATCAAATTAAATCTTTAACCCATGATATCTACTACCAACAACTGACAATATTCTCTAATTTAGATCTAGATAAAGCCAGATAACACTCTTTTGAACATTCCATGCTTGAATATTTCTTCTCTAACAATCTAACATTATCATAAGTTATTCATCATATACAATAATATAATCTTCTCCCATTATTTGGCTTCTTTTAGAAAAGATACTCTATTAGATTTTTAGCGAGTGAAAGAAGAATAAAAGGTGGACCAGTCAACAAATGGGGACGAACAAGTCTTCTACATTGTTGATAATTTGCGTTTGCGAAGGATGTGGTCACAAGAAAGTATTCTATCCCTCTCTCTAATGGCATGTGATGTGACTACTACACCATCTCTTCTGTTATAATAATAGTTTTATTTTTCATAAGGGTAACTAAAACACATTTAAAAAAAAAATTAATGTTGGAGAGGATTACGCGTTTGAATTATTTTTCCAGAAATTTAGGATTGAATGTAAACTTTGTAAGTGGTAATTGTTGGCCAAAACAAAAAACACCAAAGCGACATAACATGTTGCATTGTTGATTAGTTTCTACTAAAGATTGGCATTATCAGTATATTCAGATTCTGATTTCCAGGTAATTTTGATGAAATCTTTTGGTGATAACGCAGTCTTTTCGTCTGGACCCACACAAGGACCCAATTTTGACCATTATGCGATCCAATAAACCAAAAAATGTGGTAGTTTAAAGTGAAACGGCGCAACCTTGTCCACGTATGATGTCCAATACTCCAATGTATTATTTGACATTCACGATTACTTGGAACGCTATCTGACACAATTTTACTCAATGACAACTCTGACAAGATTTACTTAAAACTTCACCCCCAGTAAAATTCTTTCCAAAGTGGATTTGGTTCTTAAATCGAAATTTGTTTGATGTTTTCGAATTGTGTCTAATCAGGGCCGGCCCAATAGATTTTAATGCCTAAAGCAAAAAAATAAAAATTAAGCCCATTTAAAAAAAAATCGCAAAATTTCATGCTTGAAAATCGAACCTGTCACCTCACAGGCTTACCGAACGAAATTAACCACTGGGCTAAGGTACATTTACGAAAATTGATGCCCTTTAATAATAGATATATTTGTTGATGCCAAAAGCAAGAGCTTTACTTGCTTTAGGTCAGGACCGGCTCTGTGTCTAATAATAGACATTTCTTAAGACTCTATTTAGACTAATAGACAGAAAATAAGATGGAGTTCATCTTTTTGATAATTTGAACTAATCCCTACTCTACCATTTGTATAATTAATTGAAATCATTATTCCTTGATAATTAGAATTAATCCCTACTCTACCATGTGTATAATTGAAATCAATATTTCATAAAAAAAAAGATCAACTAACTTAACCAAAACTATAGTCAATGTCTTTCACTGAAAAGTTCAATTCTTATCAAGAATAAAACCGTCTTAGTTACATCACTATCAATCTCCATTATAAAGAATATGGCTTAAATCATTAGTTTTAACAACCTTTAATAAATGATTTTAAAAAAACAAACAAGGCAAGAAGACTTTGATTCAAAATATCAAATTTTCTCCCATTAAAAAAAGGAAGTAAAAAGACTTTTTTAAAAAAGATGTCAATATTATTACTACTATAAACATAAAAATTGTTCTCATGCGTAATTGACCTAAGACCATAACGAGCACTGAGACCTCGTCCTTTCAATTTAGTCTGCGCTTGACACGGCACTCTTAAAAATAAACGCGGTGATGTAGACACCGTCACGGTCCAATTACATCGTCCCTTTTTTTAATTAGCAGCTCAACGATTTAAAATCGACTGTCATTTACAAAGCCTGTCACTTTAACACTCTCACTCGTTCTTCCTTATAATCTCTCATCTTTTTTTTTTCTCCAGGTTTTACCAACCAGAATTTTTTTTTTTCAACCCTCGAGATCTTTCTTCGCACGAACAAACCTCGAAAGACTGATTCTTTTTCTTGACCCAACTGAAAAAGTTTGTCTTCTTGTCGGAAAACCAGAGAATTTCATTGTGTTCTGTTCGTTTTACGGTTTTTTGAAATTTGGAAGCAGAGGAGCTATGCTCAAGGTCTCAGATGAAATTCTCGCTTTTGATCATCAGTTATTGTTTCTCTTGCTGATTTACGGTGGATTTGCAAGGGAAATACTCTGACTTTGTTAGGACTTCTCTGGGAAATTCTGCAAAGTTATGACTTTTCCATGGCTTTTTATTTATTCGTGATTTTGAAGAAGACAAATTTCAATTGAGTTGGTTTGGAATCCGTTGACATAATAGGGTAAGTCAATTTTGCTTACTATTTATCTCACTATTACTTGAGAAATGTTCCTAAAAGAACCTTTTTTTTATGTTTATCAAAGTTGCAGAATTTAGAAACTTGTGGTTTAGATGAGGATTGATTACACAGAACGGATGCCTCAATCCTATAAGGTTTGTTGTTTTATCTCTTATGATGGGAATTTTCTGTCTTTAAGGTTTGATATTAGTAATGACTGACTTTGTTCTGTTGCTTTGTTTCAGATGCACTCTTCCATGTGCTTAGAATTGAAGAAGTTTGTTGATAGAATCATGAGAATCTTTCCTGATATAGAAGATGCTCGACCTGGATGCTCCTCAGGGATACAGACTCTTTGTTTACTCCACATAGCTTTGGATAGAGCTAAGCAGCTTCTTCAATATTGCAGTGAATCCAGTAAACTCTACATGGTATGTGTAAAAATCTCAACTTTCAATACATTTTCTTAGTTGATTTTGCTACTAATCCCTTGGAAATGTTCGATCTTCAGGCAGTAACAGGAGATGCTATACTCTCAAGAGGTTCTAGAGCCAAAAAATCATTAGAGCAATGCTTAAACGACATTCGAAGTATGGTACCGACTATTTTGGATACCAAGGTTTGTACCAAATATTATGTTTCTTCTCATGTTTTCATCAGTTTCTAGACAGAATCAATGATGTGAATTTTGCTTGCAGATATCTCAGATAGTCCAAGACCTTAGATCAACTGTGTTTACTGTAGAATTCTCTGAAGAAGCAGCTGGGAAAACTATTAGAGAATTGATGCGACCCAGCACTTCTTCTTCTGTTTCTCCTGATGAGATCAGAGATTTCCATTTTGCAGCATTAAAACTCCAACTTTCAACACCTGAAGCCATTGTGACAGAGAGAACATCTTTAAGGTTGCTTTTGGCGAAATTAGGAGAGGATGACGTGGACAAGAAACAGATTTTGAAGAAACAGATTTTGAAGTATCTTCTCTATCTCCTGAAAAAGCATGAAAGAATCATTTGTGCAGATCACAAAGAGAATTCTTTTTCACATCATCACCCGATCGATGATTCTCTGCGTGCTAATGCTGCGGAAGCTGAGGGTTCTGAGGAACACAATGGTATACTTCCCGAGCAATTTAAATGCCCGCTTTCTCTTACCGTGATGTATGATCCAGTCATCATTTCCTCAGGCCACACTTTTGAGAGGATGCAGATTCAGAATTGGTTCGATGAAGGTAATGATTCTTGTCCTATATCAAGAAGGAAACTGAATGACTTCGCATTGGAGCCTAATGTAGCGCTTAAGATTCAGATATCAAAATGGTGCGCGAGGAACGGTCTTCATGTTCAAGATCCAGCGACAAAGCACACAGAGGCTTCCAACAATATAGACTTCTCTGTTTCCATCGCTAGTTTCGGAAGTTCTCTGTACAATATCCCAGATCACAGCGGCCTTTCGATTACGGATTTAAACTCGAGCTATTCCATTGATTCGTCATCCTACTCTAAGATGTCAAAGGGTGGTTACTTCATTCCAATGCAGAGGATAGATTCTGCTTCTGGCGCTGGTGAAGGTGACACAGATTCTAGTCACAGCGAGATTGAGATAGATCCCTTGTGTGGACTCACTAACCTTCCATGGGATGCGCAGATCAAGGTCATCGAAGATGTAAGAAGTCGTTTTGAGCACAGTACTCGGGCTTTTCGGTCTATGTCACCGAGTAAATTTCTTGAACCACTAATCACATATCTGAAGAATGCTCTCGAAAGAAATGGCACCGCGGGAGACATAATAAAAGGTGGACTGGATTTGTTGCTGGCTTTCCTTAGTGGAAATAGGAGGGCTATAGAATATTTGGAAGAAGAGGTTTTCAAAATGTTCTCAGTCTTTCTCGAGTCTGAGGTAGTAGCTGAAGAAGCTTTGAACATACTTGAGGTTCTCTCCAACCATCCGCACGGTCCCTCCAAGATAACTTCATCAGGCTCTCTTTCTTCCCTTTTGAGGATCGTAGAGTCTCAAGCAGAACATCTCCAAGAACAAGCTATGATCACACTCAAGAATCTTTCATCAAGCATTGAAATTTGTCCGGAAATGGTATCTCTGGATTTCATCCAGAAGCTCACATCTTTCTTGCAACAAAAAGTTTTCTGCAAACACTCGATTATCATTCTGAAAAACCTCTGCAGCACTGAGAAAGGTCGGGTTTATATCACCGAAACCCCGGATTGTTTAGCTTCCATAGCTGAATTACTCGATTCAAACGTTCCCGAGGAGCAAGAAAATGCAATCTACACCCTCCTTCAGCTCTGTACGCAGAAGATAGAGTATTGCTGTCTTGTCGTGAGAGAAGCAACTGATATTTACTCATCTCTAATCTTGATAACCAAAAATGGAACAGAGGAAGCAAAAGGGGGTGCATCGGAATTGCTTAGAGCTCTTGAAGAAGTAGATTCTGACAGAGAAGATGAATCCTCCAGACCAGAAGAAGAAACAACTGCTTCGACTACTTCACAGGTTGTTACTCCAGTTACTCATCAAGAACCTATTAAAATAACACCATCCCCAAAAAAATCTGGTCGTTTTGGATTCAATTTCTCCAGTCTCATGAAGAAGAAAAAATAGATAGAAGCATAAGAGTCATTAGGCTGGTTTTAACTTAATTTTTGAGAAAAAAATTTTAATTTCTTTTGGTTCTCTGTTTGTTGGCTTAGGTTTGTATATGTTGATACCAGGCCAAAAGGCCTTCATTTAATACAAGTGTAATTGTAATTTGTGAGGGAAATAATTGTAGCTTGCATTTTTAAATCATTAACTAATAACAATGGTCAATTCTTTTAATATTCCAACATTGAAATGATTAGAATACATTTTGTAGGTGGTTACAGATATAAAAAAGTTCAGCTGGATTCTCCATTTTTTTGTCTGTTTAATTCTACAGTATACAAAAGAAGGAATATATTGTTATGACCACAAGAGTTTTTTCTCTTTCTTCTACACATATCTCTATATTTGTATGAAGATAATAGATTGAAAGATCCTTGGATTGGTTTCCTCTGTCTTTCTGGTTCAAATTTCAGATAAGATAGATAAATGGATAAGACGACAACAAAAAAACCGCGATTTTTTTTAATGAGCCTATCCCTAATTTTTTACTTGAGGCTGAAGAAATTTGAAACGGAATCGGTTCTGGAGTTGTTGTAAAGACATTGTGAGTGAGTTTCCCAGCTTGAAGATGTCTGATCTTTCTGCAGAAAAGAAAAAACAAATAAGTTACTTCACGGACAAGTAACAAGAATTTGGGAATAATGAAAGATTTGTTTGAACAGAGAGAGATTGTTACAGTGCCGTTCAAGACTGAGTAATCTATAGATCCTTGCTGATGTAATGGAAAAGACCGAAAATCCGCCATGATTGACTGCTTCGAGTCAGCTTCGGGAAGACCAGTGAAGTAAGCCTGAAACTAGATTCCAATTTTAAACCAGTCAATAAATGCGGAAAACTCGGTTAATTCTTGGGATGAAGCTGACTATATATTCACCTGTTTTGCGGATAAATCATCGATATGACACTCAAGTTCTGGATTTATGACAGAGAGTTTCATCGATAAGAACTCAACTTGTTGTTGCAGAGATTGGACATAGTTGATGATCTCATCAAGCATACCAGCTTTTCCAGTTACTTTGTTGCATCCAGGAACAATATCTTGAAGACATTTCATCTTCTTGCTTATCTTTTCTCTCCTTGCCTGCCACAATCCCACAAAAAAAGACCACTCAAATCTCTAATCAAAGTAATATTTTCTCTGAAATCTATGTAACAGCACTTTTAGTTAATTACCCTCTCTGCTAAGCTATGTCTGTCGGTAGCTTCACCTCGTCTAGCTCTGACATGGATGTAATCTGGTTTCTGAATCTCTGAAGATGTCTCTGTGTTGCTCATGTTTGTTTTTCCTTTCATGCTTGACTCTGTTTCATCCTCTGCTTTGATCTTCTTCTTCTCTCTCTTTTCTGTCTTACCCTAAAACCAAAAGTTGAAACGATCAGAATCAATCTAAACGCCAAAACTCAATAGTTTCTCGAGCTACAAACCTCTGGTTTTCTCTTGTTCTGCAAGGAAATGGCTCTGTTATGTCCACTGTTCTTCACTGGCTCCATTTGGAAGCTACTTGTCCTAGAAATGCAGCCATCAGTAGTATCATAATCCGGTCCAAACTCGGGAAAATGTCTGAAACTCTGCAGCTCATCATTGTTGTTTCCTAAGTAACTCTCAACTCTTTTGAGCTCTTCTCTCCCATCTGAGCCAAGTATCTGAAGAAACTCAGGTGAAACCATTTGCTGCTGTTGCAGCCATTTAAGCCTATCAAGTACAGACAAGTCCATGAAGAGAAGGTAAAAAAAACTTAAAGGCTCTTTATCTTTTCTTTGGGAGGGTTAAAGCAAAAGAGAGAAAGAGAGAGTTAAGTTTTATATGTGTGGAAGAAAAGTAATCCATTAGATATAATTATTCTTAGCTTTAAATAGAAAGCAACATTGACCCACACACATGAGATTCGAAATCTAGTGAGAGAGGGACAAAATTGATAAAAGTGGAGGAGGTTGGGGACAAAGAAGGTGAGATGAGAAGTTGTGGGGTCTAAATGACATAACCTACCATGTGGTCATGTCCTTATGAACATGAGATGAGGAGTCTCTTAAGTTAATCTTTTTTGTGTCTTTTCTCTGTTTTTTTTTTCCTTTTGCCCTTTCAAGTTTTTGAGAGGATCTTTTATTTGGCCACAAATAATCAAACTGAGTAAAACTTAAGGTTCATGAGGGTATTATCATATAAATATTTTTTTTTGTAAAAGCAAATCATTGAGCTTTTGGTAAGACAACCCTCTAATTGTACCAATTTTGTTTTTTTTTTAAGAATCTTACTTAAAGAAAGAGAGAGCGTTTCTTAGGCTTGAAGTTGGAGAATGTGGGGAATGTAAATTATGAATCATAACTTGCAAATGAATAGAAACAATGGTTTGAATCATGAGTGATATCATTTCCATGTCTTGTTGTGAATCCATACGTGATCCTTGTGACGTATTAATACTACCATTCATCAAACTACTATACAGATTACACCAATAATTATAGACTATTTCATATATTAGAGAGATAGCATCTCGATGAATATATGTGAAATATTATAATAGTTAATTCATAACTGATAGGGACGCAAAATAAGAGACCTAAAGAAGAAAATGGGTTTGAAGATAAGTGATAGGAAGGTAGGCGACACCATTGCTTTTGATCTAAGTGTTTGGTCCCTATACATTTTTTTTATATTAATTATATATCAATACATTATCTACAACGAGTGACATAATTCAATAGAATCAATACTATTTTGGAAAATCCTTCATTATTTAGATTATTAAAAATTCAAAGTTTGGCCTATTTCAATAACACACCGGTTGCTTTGAGGTTTCCATTTCGCTGGTTCTTTAGGATTCATCAATAACAAGCTGCTTCTGAGATTAGATGAGAAGAGTAAATGCTTCAAATGCCAAAATACTTAAAACGTTCAGAGATTTTGTTGTTTTTGCAATTTCAACAAAAAAAAGTTTAGAAAGTTTTGATTCACTGAGTTTCAGTATAGTATGTCTCACCTTTTCAACAATGAGATAAGATCTGAGGAAGTGAGTTGGATGGAGAACATGAACTTTAAGGAAGAGTGTATCAATATCTTCTTGTGCAAGTCATTAGCTTCTGTTGTTTGATAATCAACTTGTTGACCATTAGAGATCATCAGCTTTTGTCAAAATGATTCAAAAGTAAAAAATTCAGGATCTTTGGGACAAACAAACACGACTGAACCGGTCGGTTCAGATAATTCGAGATTACCGGTCTAATCGTTAAACCATAAAAATCGGATTTTCAGAAACACTCTGTTTCGTCGAGCGGATTCGACTTGTCTGGCTCAGGCGTCGCCACAACTCTCCCGCAAGTTCACACACTCACTCGGTGCTCAGAAAAGTTTGTTCTTTTTGCATCTGTTAGCTCTGAAATATCTGGTTCTCTTTTCCTTTCCTTGGAGATTTTACGAGGTTGTTCTCTGTGAATAATCGATGTCTGCTTCATGTGCTCTAACACCGTCTGTTAGGACAGAGTTATTCAGTTCATCATCTAAAAGATCAATCTTTCCTGCTCAAATTTGTCGACCCAGTAAGATTCAACACCAACCTTTCATTCAAAATTTTCCTTAGAGATTAAGCCTGAATTATGACCAATCTGTTTAATCTTTGCAATGAAGGGAACAAATGTGAGATCAGCAGAAGGGGATTTGCAATCAGAGGAGGGATTGTTGCTTCTGGAGTTTCAGTCATGGGTACTTCTTCTGCTTCTCAGTCTGTTCAAGGTAACAAAAAAAAAACCTAGCTTTGGAACTTTTTTGCTTCTCTCTTGGTCTAAAAATGTTATCTTTGTTTAAAAGAATTGGATGATTCTTTAGGTAGTGAGAGGTTGGCTTTTAAGCCAGAAGGGTATAACTTTTGGGAGTGGAGAGGTCACAAGATTCATTATGTGGTTCAAGGAGAAGGCTTACCTCTTGTTCTTATTCATGGATTTGGTGCTTCTGTCTTTCATTGGAGGTACCCTCAATTTCATTGATTTGGGAACATCTCTGAGCAGTATAGGCTTTAAGTTAACTGTTTACATGATTCTTATGAATTCGAGCTAATATCGGTAGATTTATAGGTATAACATTCCTCAACTGGCTAAGAAATACAAGGTTTACGCCTTGGACTTGCTCGGTTTCGGATGGAGTGACAAAGCTCTCATAGAGTATGATGCCATGGTTTGGACAGATCAAGTTATTGATTTCATGAAAGAGATAGTGAAAGAACCAGCTGTTGTGGTCGGGAACAGGTAAATGAATGTTTTCCTTGGAGCTCTTTTTGTCATTCCATGAGGAAGTCTGAAACAAGTACTTGACTTCTTTATAGCCTCGGGGGATTCACGGCATTGTCAGTTGCGGTTGGATTACCCGAGCAGGTCACGGGAGTTGCTCTTCTAAACTCTGCAGGACAGTTTGCAGCCGAGAGTAGAAAAGGAGAGGAAGCTGATGAAACCGTGATAACCAAGTTTATAGTTAAGCCACTTAAAGAGATTTTCCAACGCGTGGTTCTTGGGTTCTTGTTCTGGCAAGCCAAGCAACCTTCTCGAATCGAATCTGTCTTAAAGAGTGTAATGTCTTATTGACTTTGTCAGATTTTTTCTCCTCAAAGTTTGTTACTTTGTACTCAATTTTCTTATTTTTGCAGGTGTACGTAGACTCTACTAATGTCGATGACTACCTCGTCGAATCCATTTCAAAACCTGCAACAGATCCAAATGCTGGAGAAGTATACTACAGGTACAAAACACCAATAAAGAGTTTCTCTGTTTTGATACATAATAAAGAGTCCTAACTGTTGTTTGTTTGTTAATATCTTACAGATTGATGACAAGGTTCTTAACAAACCAGAGCAGATACACTCTAGATAGTGTTCTAAGTAAGATGACTTGTCCGCTTCTGTTGCTTTGGGGAGATCTTGACCCGTGGGTCGGTCCAGCTAAAGCTGAGAAAATAAAAGCATTTTACTCGAACTCATCGCTCGTGCACTTACAAGCAGGACATTGTCCTCATGATGAAGTCCCAGAAGCTGTAAACAAGGCTTTGTTGGATTGGTTGTCCATTAATGTAGCTTCAAAGCCAGCTTCTCCTATAGCCTTGGAGACGTAAAGACTCTTTTTGTGAAGGAAGTATATAGTTGTAAATACATTGTTACCTTTTACAATTGCTGCTTCTGAGCTTGTGTTATCTGAGATTTAGCGGAGGTCGGAGGATATGATCAAGAATCTGATTTTAGAGCATAGACTTGATCAACTTTATCTGAAGTTTGGTTAAAACCCCTCAAGAGAATAAAGAGACAACATACATACAAAACTTAACATAGTGTGGGTACCAATTACTAATAGATCGACTTTGACAATGACAGGTTTTTTCACGTGTGAAACATGCAAATTGTAGTTTTCTTTTTGGGCTATAAATTTAATTGTGCACTAAATTGTGGTATGGACAAATCTTCGAAATTAGTTGCACACTGCACAAGCCATTGATTTCTTCTAGACAGTCTGGTTAGGCTTCTTAAAAAAACCAACTGCAACAGTTTCCACTAGAGATCTTCCTTTAATCCTATCATGTATCAATCATCATAGATTCAGAGGAAAACAAAAACACTGACGACTGACTTAACTTGAATATATAAATGTGGATCATAGAGTTCGTAGTAGGTAATTTCTTCACATGATTTCGATTAACACAAATTTATTAAAGGGCCCTATGATTTATCACCTAAGCCGCTTTTATTTTTTCAGGTCAACACCTAAGCTAACAAATATCAAAATGTAATTAGTTAGGAAAATGGTCATATGAATATTTGAGTGCTGCGATTCCAACCAAAGTGGCCAACACAAGGACTCCTTTCTTTAATTTCTTTATTCCAACGTTTCTAAACTCAATAATGATGGAGTTTCCAAAGATACATGGAATTTTCCTAATAATTGTGTTATACTTTTTTTTCTTTTGTTTTGATCAAAATAATTGTGTTACTTATTAATCTGTTTCTGCTTGGTATATATAGTGAAAGGGTTGCAATCATTTGTATGTGGGGGAGTACACTATAAGTTCCAACTCACTTATATAATTAGTGTTCTGGTAACTATATTAATTAGTAGTGCCAATTTGTGTTAATTTTCATTTTTCCAACTTAAAATACCTAGATAAATGTGAAAAGTGAAAAAACAATAAAAATTTGAATCATCTGGTTGAATAAACTATGATTTTATCATTTGTGTAACAATGATAAGCAGCAAACATTTAGAATCATATCTTGTGTTGTTTGATTTTCTCTTTGCTTTATTTGACCTTTTCTTAACTATTTTTGTTCTATATGCATGAGTTTCAACATCTGAACATAGAAAAAGGTAGGATATAAAATGAATACAATCTTCCTTAGCATAACTTTATCATGTACCTATACAAAATATTAAATCAAATAAACTAAAAAGATTACGCAAAAAGAGAAAAGTGGTCCAATTAACATCCAGATTGGTCTAATTGTAGGCTGCAAGGAATATATCCAATCGAGTGAAAAATGAAAAGATATAAACTAAAAATGAAAAAATGAAAATGGGGATTTTAATATATAATTATAAACCTAGTATCTGGTCTTTATATAGACATACATATACAGTATATTGTTAAAACGTGTAATTATAATCATGTTCAACACGATCAGAGACATATAGGCGTGTCTCTTAAGTTAACATATGAATATTCAGATATTAGCTTATTGGTCAAGATTGATGTTATTCAATTGCAGAACTACGCTTATTTGGGACAATATCCGAAAAAAAAGAACCAAATAGATATCGTACACAGTAGACTTATCTCTAGTTAACCAAAATATAAAAAAAAAAAGATTTATTTCTGTTTAATACGCATAGTTTTTTTAGACAATCTGTTTTTTTTTTTTTTTTTTTTTTTTTTTGATCAAAAGACAATCTGTTTATGATCTAGAAAATCAGATATAATAGTATTAACTGTGAAGGTTTATATATTTACTTAAATACACTGATGATGGAACGAATAAGTGAATCTTGTAAGTAGGGCAAGCATGGTTATCACCGCCATCATTATGTTCGGAGCATAATATTTAATCATGTTTTCCTTTGCGATGTTGTTTTTAACTAATATAGCTATTCAAACTATGAGAGAGTCTAATTAATCAAAGTGTGGATTCGTCTTTTGATACTCCATTTTTTATCGTCTAGGGTTCATGCATGCTTTACAAGGCACGGACTTATAAGCAAGCATGCGTATACACCCACCCCCACACGTTTACATTTGTATATATATACATTTTTGAATTCCGAATAAATATAATCCAACCAATTTTATTTGAATGGAATTAGATAAAACTATACTGAAAACGGAATTTAATTTGGCTTAAATATTAAACTAAACCAAAAAGGTAAAAAAAAATAAAACTCATTTTAAAACTAAAATTAATTGATTAAATTCTGAATCTAACTTGTAGAAAAAAGTTGGTGTTGCTATAACTAATGGTTTAATGCTTGCATTCGTTCTTATCATAATGAATTATTTTGTCGTAACAGCCGTAGTGCAGGTAAATTTTCACTATCATAATTAATAAAATAGATATATATATTAATTGATTAGATAGGTACCAAAAAAAATCGAATACATACATCTACGTTAATATGTAACTTAATATGGGAAGCCAACTACCCATATATGAAAAATTTTAGTTATCTTATTATAAACTTCAATTACGACTTAAAGAGGGGCAACGTAGAGTAATAATCATATGAGTTGTCAACCAATTAAATGGATCAATATCATTAATCATGCTGCATGCCACGAAAAATCTCGTTATCATCAATTGTGGACACCAAATAGTTATACACTAGCGAATCGGTATCTATTCTATTTTATTAGGGTGATAATACGTATAAGGAATATATAATGTATATGCACCATAATTGTGTCGTACTTAATTATTAGAGTTGTAGTGTCATGAAAATATAAATTTCGTTCGACTTGAAATTATATGCTCGTGAGAAGAAAAAAAAAAAGATATTCTATATGATCTGGAGGAACGGTTTAGGCTGTCTTATTCGTGACATTACTGTCCCTCTTTAGTTTGATTTTTTTTTTTCCCAATGGTGCCAAACTTGGATTAATACTTATATGCTCAAATCTTGATTAAACTACACCAACAGTGTCATTTTTCAGACTATTATTGGAATTGTCAGAACAGTTTTACAAAATGCCAATGATTCACCTGTTTTTACTAGGATCTAGCTTTTGTAGATTAAATATGTTTAATTAAGTTATTTGGATAATCAAATATATTGTTAATATTGTAATTTATGTTTTAAACTACTAGTTTCAATTGAGGACTACTTTTGGCGAATATAAAAGATAATACTGAAGACTTTTAGCTAAAGTTTTACATTCAAAGCTTAATACACATGTAAATGTATGGATACTACAAAAAATAAGACAAACACCATCTGTGAATATTATTCATAACTAGTGATTAAAAACTGCTAGCAACTTTATAATTACTCGTTTTGTCACCAAATATCTATGTATACTCCATTACGTATCTTTCATTGGAGACATAACATATATATGAATTAGAAAATGCTAATGATTTGTCCAAAAAAAAAAAATGCTAATGCAAGAATTTGAACGAAAAAGGCTTGAAACTAATATTTATCTTATTCTTTACTTTTTTTTTTTTTTTTAAAAGCAATAAATAAGTAAAACAATGGAAAATAGTACAAAATCAGAGTGCGTTACACTTGTAATTGATCCATTGGCCGATGCAACTCCACAGTTTCTTACTCTTACCATTTTCACTACATTTGTTTCCCTCTTGGGAACCTTCAAGGCTTCAACCTTTAATTTTTTTTTTCTTCTTCATTTATTATAACTCTTTTATTATTCTTTTTGTTTTTTGTCCGTATTATAGTTTTATATCTATACTTTTTATCTAGATGACTAGACCGGTCCGAATAATCCAAGTTTTGTAGTATATAAATATTAAAAACTATGAGATTCCTGCGTATCTGTAATTTAATTTTTATAAATTCATTCTAACGTTATTATTATTATGAAGAGAGAAATAAATTTTCTTTTTTTGTCATGGAAAATGATGAAGATAGTGTGCTGCAACAGTCGGACCCACCGGAGAAGAAGAAGTGACAACAACGAGTATTGTCTATTTCCTATTTTACCCTTTCCTTTTCGTTTCGCGCGTCTTCACCGGTTTACCGGCTACACCTGTCGTCCTACATATCGGTTTCATCATTTAATTATAAAATTGTTTATATTAAATTACTATTAAACAAATAAAATAAAACAAGTCTTATTTAAATACTGTCGAAAATACTAAATAGTTACTGTATTAAATTAGTTGCCGCCGCGCCGGCCGTTACGATTGCAGCAGCACGACTGTTTTCATAACTCATTTTTTATTAAAAATAAATTGATATATTTATTGTTTTAAAATTCCATGGAACAAGCCAAGAAGTTAATTTTATTTATTTATTAAGATATCAGTTTTGACATATATTATAATTACGAAAACCTAAAATAAAAAGAATACTTGTATGAATATGAAGGAACAACACTGTAAAATTATAAAAATAAAATACAATAATTGTAATTAATTAATTCTCGATATATAACGTTCCTATTACTTTGTTAATTCTCTTTTCGTAGGATGTAGAGATGGGAATATTATATACCCTTTTAAAAATATAAAAAAAGGATTCGAAATAGATTTCAAATTAAAGCTGAAGAGGTCCTTTTTCGTCATTTTGGAGTTTCTTTTTGAGACATTTTTCCTCTTTTGATTGTCGCTTTTTCCGTCCTCTTGACTTCTGCTGTTTCAGACTCTCAACGGAGAGAGCCTCCAAAGCCAGAAGAGAGAGAGGTTGAAGAAGAAATATTTGCGCAACCCCAAGAATCGTTTTTGTTGATTCTCATGGAAAATCTCTCTCATTCTCGGAATCCAAATAGGTCTTCACTATCTAAGAAACCTTACAATGGCGGCAATAACGCCGGAGGTTTTAGCTACAACTCCGGCAAAACGGCTAATACAACCACCACCACTACATACGACAACGTTTTTGGTGGCCCGCCTAGGTTCGGAGCTCCGACGTTGTCTCCTCGTCTCGAAGACTACTGCGAGATTTTCGCCGGATTCAACGGCTCCTCACGCGCCGCCGTTTCCTCGATTCCGGTGCTCGATCTTCCACTAGTTGATGACAGAGATGT